GTCGACCGAAGCTTGCCTGTCTTCCGGTGGAAGCGGCATCGTCGCGGGAAATGGAAACGGGACCGAGAACGGCAACGGGACAGGTACGGGGACCGGAAACGGCAATGGAAACGGAGCTTGCGGCGGTAGCGTTAACGGTGGAACCAATTCCGCCAACGTGGCTACCGGTTCTGGGATGCAGACCTCTTGTTCGCTGCCGGAAACACCCGTTTTCGCCAGAGGGAGCGATATTCCTCGAACTCCCCAGCACGCGAACAACTCGACGCAGATGCGTCGGCAACCTGGTTGGTACGCGCCAACCACGGCTACCACCGGGTAAGATAACTCGCTTTCTCTTGTTCGACCACGAAGCTCGTGTCCTAGCGATCTGAAAGAAAGGTCGAGAGACGAAGATACGCTTAGGCTATCGTAACGAGACGATGTCCGAACGAGCAGAAACGTATTTACTTATGTAACGTTAGGTCGTCGATGCGATTAATTAATATACCGGACGATACTCGATGCGAGTAGGTATCGACGAAACAATCCAGGTTTGGAACAGGCGATAATCGGTACGGAGTTGCTTCGGCTAGCGGGCGGTCCCAGTCGCGGATGGTACCCGACCAGGAAGGCGAATCAACCACGGCCGGCTTCGATCGAGCATCTGGAACGATTGAACAACGCGTACGACGCACGGCTAGCCGGAACCGGGGACCAGAGGAAACCGTTAACTTTGCCCACGAACATCACACCGAACAAATACTTCGGCCAAAGTAAGCACAGCTCCGCCTCCAGTACTCGCGAGGCGCTACGGAGGGTCACTAGCTTGCTCATCAAGAAAGGTAAGCGCTGGAATTTGCGCTATTACGAGAGTCTCGTGATCGTTCACGATCGCCTCTCGAAAACGCGATGTCTCTCGCTCAACCGACTCGGTTTATCGCCGGCGCTGCTTGCCTCTACGATTCTTTCGATTCACGAAGCGCCGTTTCGTGAGGCAAACGTAGCCGGAAACCGAGCATCGCTGCGAACACGATTTCGAAAACGACGCTCGACGGTCTCTTTCGATCTGATGTACCCAAAATCGTCACCTTCGCGTTGGGATAAAGAAAATAGAAGCGATTTTAGGTAAATTGGTCCGACTCTATTTGCGAATAACGCGGGGAAAATCAAATCGCAAGAGGAAACGTGCGTCGCTGATTCGGAAATTGTGTAAGCGTCGAGTTTTCGAACTTGCAACAACGTTTAACGCAACAATAATGTACCCGAAGAGTTGTAACTTGTTTCCTGCGTGACCTTTCGTGGCACTGAGTGTCACCGATTCTATGTTACTCCTCGAATAGATTAGAATAGTCGTTCAGGTGTCTTGTATCCGAATGCTCCCTCCTTGTCCCATAAAACTGGACGCGTACAGATCATTCTCAGAACGTTAGATTACTCGTGGAATGACCCGTAAGCGTTCAGTCCATTTGTGTGTCTCCCTTTACTTTTTCAAATTTCGCATCTTTCCGTTGCTGGCTATGTTTAAACGCTTCAGCAGATTTATCGTTGCGCAGGCGATAAACGCGACAGATTCGCGCGGTCATTCGAATAGCAATTTTGGCGCGCTCGTCGCGTATCTTTACGGTTTGATTAATTCGAGAAAGAGTTAAGGGGGGAAGGAGCGATTACGATAACGTTAATTTACCGGTGTAGTTGATCGTAAAACGCAAAAGAATAACGTCACCGCGATAAAGTTGGCGACGCTGCCGGCAGATGGCCAGCGAGCCGCGGTGATCGCCGTGCGATGCTCCCATCTAGCGGCCTTTGCTCGACTATCGACTATCGACTAACCGACCTTGAAAATACGAACGCACCGGACAAGATGCACGTAGGAACGAGGCCTTATCCGCGTTACACGCCGCGCCTGATCCGTATGTTTCCGTGGACATTCCCCTTTTCGTGACTTACACGAGCAAACATCGTTTCGGGCCCCGCACCCCCTAGTTACGTCATCGGCAGGCTCGACCTTCGGAAAAATTGTCGGACGGGCATTTTCGAAAGTCCCGCGACGACGAGTAACCCGAGCGAGTTCGCCTCGAATCTTGTAACGTGGACAAACGCGTATCCTTGTAAGTTCGAAGAGGGCAAAGCGTCGACTGGTCAGAGGAAACCGGTATAAGGATGGGCAAGCGTTAAAGATTCGCTAGAAAAGTAGCGACGTTACTTATGACGGCATTCTCGATTATCTGGACGTCTCGTTGCCGATTCGGGAAGGGAAAGATACTCGGTCGCGATCAAGGTTGTTAAAGCTCGAACGCGCACCGACCAAAACGAGAAGAATCTCGTTCGAGACAGGAGAAAGATGACGAGCGCGCCGCGGATCAATACTCGTCCTTGCGGAGCCAACGATCGCTCGCCCTTTTCGACTCGACCTTTCATCGAATTATCCTAGCGAATCCCGCGATTCGCGGCTTACATCTTCGAAACGTCGTAAACTCGATCGATCGAACGATACAAAGACGCGAAAGCAACGCGCGCGCACGAGCCTCTGCGACGAGTCTTATCGTCGCTGGTTATTTATTTATAGAACGTCGCGGTATCGATGCCCCGAAGAAGAGCTTCCGCGCATGCGAAAGGAGAAGAGTATTCTTCCCCGTTCGATTCTCGGTGAAAAAAGTCCTTTGTTTTTGGACGCGTCGAAGAAGGGCAGGACAGATTTGACGCGTTACCGTTAACGCGGGTAGGCTGGCGATAAGATAGAACGGAAGGGAACGGTACCGCTACGAACGCGATACGCTTTGCCACGAAGCGCAAGCGCGAGGCAAACACGCTCCGAGCACGTTCGCTGTCGCTTCGGCTACCGTGCTTCGGAGTTTCGTTCGAAGACGAGAGAAAAAGGATGAATCAGAAAATCTGACTCGTCGAGCGTGCACGAAGCCGAACAGATCACGGAGATGGAACGTGAAAAATATTTGAACGCGTAGGCGAGGTCGGCCGGCTAAGGGATGTTTTCGGTCAGGTTAGTAAGGTCGGTAGATAGATAGGTACTTAGGTATGTAGGTGGGTAGGTAGGTAGGTAGATAGGTAGTAAGCTGGACGGGATACGGTGGAGAGTAGGAACGGAACGTATGGAAAGCCGGAAGGACATGGAAGGGGTGACTAGCTTGTCCCACACCGGGGTGCTGGCAATCGTTATTCCCGTCTGCTAGTCCGTCTACCGACCCTCCCTAGTCGAGCAAACGCCGCCCCTACCGAACCCACGAGCGTCACGGCTCGTGCGTTCACCGCAACAGCCTTTCGACCCCATCAAAAATATCGAACTATTATCTCGCTTTATCGATGCTCGTATCCTTCTCGTTCTTGGCTCGCGTCTTCTCCTCTTGCCGAATTTCCGAATCCTCGACGAAAGGGGAAGCGTCGAGTCGGCGATAAAACGAGAAAGGATCGAGGGGAAATTAAATTACCGGCGCCGCGTCGATCAAAGTGACGAAACGGCGATCGATGTCGCAACTAATTAGCTATAAAAAAAAGCATTATCGTCACGGTCCAAAGGATTATTAGCAGCTCGAATCTTTCCGTGGATCCGTCGCGCGAGACGGATAATGGCAGAACAACGTTCGACCGTGGCATCGAAGTAAGAACCCTTAGGCACGACCGTGACCTCGATCGAGCGCTAGCTCTTATTCGTTTCTCGCGCTCCGATTTCTCAGCGAAACGCTTCGCGTCGTTCGCGTACCGATTTCAAAGAATTAACCATCGACAAAAATTTACTCTAAACGGTATATTCCTTGAACGGCAATCCGCCTGGCGACAACTCGACTCACCGACCAGACGTATCGTTTCCTCGAAATAACCGTATACCAGTTCGTTTCTCGAACGTCGAACGCGTTCGTTCGGTGTTTCTTCAACGAAAGATCAAAGTCACGATTAAAATTCGACGAGAACTAAGTAAAAGTCGAAAGTGGTCGCAAAGAGAGCGCCGCGTTTTGTCATTCCATGCCAGCTCGTGAAACAAGATATGGAGGTTATTATTATCTTCCCAGAAATAGAGCCGCGAACATAGTTAGTTACCGAGGTGGTCGAATAAGCTCGATGGAAAGCGAAGAGCTTGAATGAAGCTTATTTCGGCGACGGATTTCGTTCCGATTTTGGCACGCGATTTTCTTTCCCGCGTTACCGCACAATCGCGCTCGTTCGATCGTTCTTTATCCTTCTGCGTTTACTTTCCACCTTCTTCCGCGTTACCTCGAACGATTCGCGTTTCACGGTTAACGAACAAGGAAAAAGAAGCCTTTATCGTCGACGGGACGACGAGAGACGGTTGAACGGTCGACGAAACGATTTCGTAACCGGAATGCGCTCGCGTCAGCGTATCGCGCGCTTTCGTCGTTTTCCTTCCCGTCTTATCCGCCGTCTCTCGTATCCTTCTCGTCGGCGAACACTATTCGACAAAATATTCGGACAGGAAGTTACGCGCGTGTTCTCTGGTCATCGTGCGTTCGATTAGCTTCCTCCGTTTTGTTTCCAAAATGTTTTCCCTTTGCTAGCTTTTTCTTTTGCTTAAGAAGAGAATGAACGGCAAACCGATACTAGAAACGAGGCGCTTTTCTTGGACTGTTTCAGGAAGCGGAAGCAAAGACGGCAAAGGTGGGAAGGAGGGTGGCTCGTCGTGCGGTCCTTACGCCGGTAAGTTCCTTTCGTTTCCTTGGCTCGTTAGCTATTCTCGAGATGATTTTCTGCCGGCTAAGGCGACGATGAGGCGAAGAGTAAGTATACGCCGTATCGAATCGAACGGTAAAACGTGTTTCGGGTGTCGCCTCTCGAATCTGCATGTATATAGCGCATGCACACCCTCTCCACCGTGGAGGTCGAAGGATTTCGTTTCCAAGAGAGTGACACGACCGACGCTATTTATACAGCCGTGGTAGAACGCTTCGAGCTGGCATTAAGAAACGTTCGGAATATCGTCAACCACGACCCACGACCGAAATAAACTGGATCGTGTCTTGACCGTAGAAATGGATCGTTTCGGTCGCTACGTACGCCGCGTCGGCAACGACCTTGGTTTCGATAGCGTTTTCTCGTTAAACGCGATGGACCTCGCGCAGCTATTCTCGAAATTTCCAAATATTCCTCTTCGCTCTCTCTCCCGTCTCCGCCCTACCAGTTCACCGAAGCATCCGGCCTCGTCTCTGGTCTGGATCTAACGGTTCTATTAATATTTTTCGGTTATTTTGGAAAACTGGCGTCGACCGGGAGAACATCGCTTACGAAGCGAGCGTAACCTTTCGGGTTTCGCGCTGACTTTTCGAAATCGGATTCGTATTCTCGGTAATAACACGGAGGAGGAGGAAAGAAGTAGCGACGGATGCAACGCGGCAGAGATGATCGGTGGTAGCAACAGCGGCGGACACACCCAGGAGTCTGCGTCTAGTACGCGCTATCGGTATTGATCCACGCGCGCACCGTTTCTCTCTTCGCTTCGCTTGTCCGTCTCTCCTCGTCCCGGTGGTGTAACGGGTGTGCTCGTTGCCTCCTAAGATCGCGTCCCTCGGAATCGAGCCATTTCGCGCACTCGATCGGATCGAGCGAACATCGAAGGTGCCGACCGAGCGGTCTATCGTGCTCCGACGTCCGTCCGTCGTCTGCTCCGTCATCGAAGCAAGGACCGGAAAGGCGAGCGATTATTATGCAGGCGGCGGACAATTGCCAACGCTTCCCCTATTAACATATAGCGAGAGTAAAAACGTGGCGAAAATACGCGGACAGCCGCGTACGTCGTATCGGCTTTAGCGGCAACGAGAGTTTGATCGCGTGATCGAACGAGTCGCGATCAAAGGCTCTCGACTCGCGAGTCGGACGTCAGAACGTAAAAAGATGACGGAGGATCGTGGGATGTTTCTGTTTCAGCCGCCGAATGCGGGGACGCGCCGAAGAAGAAAGGATTCTTCAAGGGTTTCTGGAAGAGATCGCGACATTACTCGTTGGAAAACCAATAGCCCAGGATAAGCGGTAAGGTGACGAGCCAACGGCAGAGGCACGCGTTACGCCAACACCATTATCGACAACAACGCGTCCCTGCGACCGCTCTGACGAACAATGCTTGTTGCTGCATCGTCCAGTAGCACCTCCGTACCGCTTCGTGGCAATTGTTCCAGCGACGAGATTCGCGTTTCTCTTCGTCCATTTCGTCGACCTTTTAGTAAGTCGCCCTCGACCGGCACCCCGAATCCGACGAGCTACGCCAAGCCCGTGGGTAAATCTTTTTTCCATACTTTACAATTTCTTTCTTCTTCTTTTTCGTTTTCCTTCGCTTCCTTTCCCTTTCGTTTCATTCTTTTTTCTGTATCTTTCTCTGTGTCTCGATCTGTTTCTGTATCATTCGCTGTCGTTAAACGCGTTTCGCTCGATATCGCCAAACGGAACGGAGGCAGAGCCACGTTGTTCGCGTCGTCCTTACCGCGCAGATCGGTTCGATCGCTTGTTCGTTTCGAAAAATCGTTTCTCCGTCTCTCTTTTTCTCTCTCGGTGTCTCGACGCGAACGAGAACCGTCTAATAAGAATCTAACTCTCGTACGCGTGCGTGTACGACGGACACTGTTACGCGCACGAACCTACCGAGCGACGATAATTCGTTAAACAAGTTCGTACGGCTTTATCGAACGATGAATCTCGATTCAACGGAACTTTTACTTTACAGAAATTCGCCGGTTAAGTCTAAATAATCTCATCGGGGTGGAAGGTAAGATCGATCAATTTGGAACGAGTGGTCGGCTACTCGATTAGCGATGCCAAAAAAATCCGATAATCGGTCGGCTTTAATATCGACGCAGCGACGATCGACGATCGATGGCAGCCGTTTTTCTTTTCCGATCTTCCTTGCTTACGGAGGATCGTGGGATGTTTCTGTTTCAGCCGCCGAATGCGGGGACGCGCCGAAGAAGAAAGGATTCTTCAAGGGTTTCTGGAAGAGATCGCGACATTACTCGTTGGAAAACCAATAGCCCAGGATAAGCGGTAAGGTGACGAGCCAACGGCAGAGGCACGCGTTACGCCAACACCATTATCGACAACAACGCGTCCCTGCGACCGCTCTGACGAACAATGCTTGTTGCTGCATCGTCCAGTAGCACCTCCGTACCGCTTCGTGGCAATTGTTCCAGCGACGAGATTCGCGTTTCTCTTCGTCCATTTCGTCGACCTTTTAGTAAGTCGCCCTCGACCGGCACCCCGAATCCGACGAGCTACGCCAAGCCCGTGGGTAAATCTTTTTTCCATACTTTACAATTTCTTTCTTCTTCTTTTTCGTTTTCCTTCGCTTCCTTTCCCTTTCGTTTCATTCTTTTTTCTGTATCTTTCTCTGTGTCTCGATCTGTTTCTGTATCATTCGCTGTCGTTAAACGCGTTTCGCTCGATATCGCCAAACGGAACGGAGGCAGAGCCACGTTGTTCGCGTCGTCCTTACCGCGCAGATCGGTTCGATCGCTTGTTCGTTTCGAAAAATCGTTTCTCCGTCTCTCTTTTTCTCTCTCGGTGTCTCGACGCGAACGAGAACCGTCTAATAAGAATCTAACTCTCGTACGCGTGCGTGTACGACGGACACTGTTACGCGCACGAACCTACCGAGCGACGATAATTCGTTAAACAAGTTCGTACGGCTTTATCGAACGATGAATCTCGATTCAACGGAACTTTTACTTTACAGAAATTCGCCGGTTAAGTCTAAATAATCTCATCGGGGTGGAAGGTAAGATCGATCAATTTGGAACGAGTGGTCGGCTACTCGATTAGCGATGCCAAAAAAATCCGATAATCGGTCGGCTTTAATATCGACGCAGCGACGATCGACGATCGATGGCAGCCGTTTTTCTTTTCCGATCTTCCTTGCTTGTACCGAATGCGCCGATGTATTTATTAGACGGCGTTACCTTCTATTCGGACCATTGGAATATTTAATACGCGATACGCGTACGTCGAGCGCGATACAAGGATAAAGGGAGTCGTACGAATAGACGCCGGATCATCGTAATTTAACGGAAACGCCGAGAAGCGTCAACGTTATTGTACAGTATTCCGATTACGTTACCGTTTCGTGCTATCGTCGCTAACGTCATCGTCGTCGTCGCTCTGTTACTACTACTGCTACCATTTCCTATATCGTCGTTATTATTTATTACTATTATTATTTCGAGTATTATTATCGTTGTTATTATCATTATTACCGCTACTATCATTATCGTTGCTAACGCTCTACTACTACTAATATTATTATCGCTGCTGCTACTGTCGCTATCGTCATCGCCTCTCATCTTTCTCATCGCCGTCATCGTTATTATTATTGTTTTATTTATTATCATTATTATTATAGAGTTGTTGTTATAATGATCGTTATTATTCTCATTCGTCGTTATTAATAATCGAACGCTATTTGCCTAAACTCTAAAGAAGTATGCGTGTAGAGAAATGCCGCAGCAACCTTCGTCGAATACGCGACGTAGTTATAAACGATAAATTGTGAATTAACGAATGGTCGTACGAATGAGTAACTACTATTATCATCGTCGTTATTAATTGTAAGATATAAAACAGATTCGAGATTACGTAGGTAGCGTAACGTAACGAACGGTGGCGATAATAACGACAACTCGGAAAGTTGTGTTTAGTAAAGTTTTCGATCGGGTGCAGCAGCGCGTTCTCTCGTGGATATTTCACGTGGTCGATCGTACCAAGACTCGTTCGAATGCCAAAGATTGTCTCGCGGAGCGTCGAATTCGACCCATGTACAAAAGATACTTACGATTATCGTTTCTTACTCTCTCTCCTACTATTTTCTACTTATTTATTTCCTCCGTTTCTAACCACGAGTCGATCGAACGCTTCGATTTTCTTTCCTCTCGCGAACACACCAAACGTTCGATGCTCGCGCGAACCTCTCTGGGTACGAATCGTATCGAATTTCCCCGCGAATCGCTCGATGTTACTTTCCTTTCGATTAATTTCAGTCTAAGAGAACGCTAAGAAATGTGGCGGCGCGAGCACGATGATTTCGAAGGAAACCGTGTCAAGGGACAGACGAAAAAGAAAGAAGAAGCTTAGCCGCTAAATAGATTCGAATAAACGCGCGACTATATTGTTTTCTTCCCGCGACATTGCGTGTGTGTGTGTATATATATATACATATAATTCGTATGTATGTGTATATATATATATATATGTATATTATAGTTTAGCGCGATCTTGTCGCAGTGTATAGTGGATCCTGTAAATAACGATCGCGATCGAGGATACGTAAAGATACGCGAAAGGATAAAGAAAGACGAGAAGAGGAGGAAGACGAAGAGGAGAAGAAGGAGAAAGAAGAAGATGACGCTGTTCGACGCGACGGGTGATCGCGTTGAAACAGCGAGAATGGGCATTCGAGATACACGGGCCGAAGGATCGCCGAAGCTCCAAGAGCTTCCTCGAGCGTGCTGGCCGCTTTCTCGCGTATCCGTTGGCACGCATGCACGCTTATACCTGATAAGACTTCCTAAGTTAACGAGTAGTCTAACAAAGATTAACGTTATTCGAATTAAACGCCAATTAAACGAACGTTTGTAAAGCATTTTAGTCAAAGGTGGTATCTCATTTTGCATACACCTTTCGTACATTACGTACAAATGTACGCGTGCGCGCGCGCTCTCTCTCGCTTTCTTCGGAGCAGCTTATTATCGTTTTTATTCCACTTCGGCTGATAATTTTCTTTCGAGCGATAAGTTCGCACGCGTTCAACGTTTTCCTTTTGATTGTTCCGTTCTGCTGGTGCATCGAATAGCGACGGGAACGAAGGCGTCGTCGAGTCAATCGACCAGCGTGAATATGAAAATGAATTTCAGAGAGAGAGAGAGAAAGAGAGACAAAGAGAAAGAGAGAGAGAGCGCGAGTTTTCCACAGCAAAATAATTGAAGTTGTTGACAATCATCGACGAATATAAGCTCGATTCGTCGACGCGTTCGTCGCGACACCGAAAATAGCCGATAGAACGGTAAACTTGGTCCCTCGGAAAGACGAATCGACGCGAAGAAACGATAAAAGAGGAAACGCGATCCAATTTTGAACGTATCTCGTTTTAAGTCGACGAAATCGTCCGACGAATCGAGCGCTCGACGCAACAACCCATGGTACTAATGTCAACGCGATATTACCGTCAACATTTCATAATCTAATTGTAATTACGTCGAAATCTTCCGATTAAGTTTCGCGTATAGGTGCCATTGGTTTATACTTTGATACGTGTGCCTAATACATCCCGCTATTCGATCGTTGTCTCCGAAAGAATTTTGTTTCTCGCGTACTATCCGGGGCGGAATCCGTTCGTTCGTTCGTTTACCCTTGCGCATCGATTTTTCTCGTCGAACGCGGAACGAACGAGAGAGAATCGTTCGTCGCGTTTGCCGATTTAAGCGGATCCAAGAAATTTCAAGAAAACGCGTTGGAACAAAAGAGTAGCCTAGAGGATGATAGTCGATAGAAACCGCAAATAAGAAAAATAACAAAATCGAAAAAAAGAATGAAAGAAAGATAGAATGAAAAAAAACAGTGACGATTTTATTTAGGATAATTAGAGATAATAACGTTTTTTAAGAAGAACTCGATGCGAGTGAATAAGCGAGAACGATTTTTATGTACATTTTCTTAATAATTTTGTAAAAAGTTTTATTTAACGTTTCGATCTACCAATAAATTGAACGAAGGTTTATAAAATAAAGTAGAAGATGCATCGTATTACTTTGATACGCTATATCGATTCTATAAAAACTTAATCTCCGATATAGATAGAAAGTCGCGATAGCGCGTAACAGGTAAGTGATTATCGTTTTAATTCTCGGTGAAGAGGAATACTGCAGAAAAAAAGGCGAGGCCAAGATCCGAAAGTGGTATCAGAGTCAGCTAATCAACGAAGGATCGGAAGAACGCGGTGATTATCAAAGGTTCGACTCGACCGCAACGTCCGTTGGTCCAACGAACGACGTTACGAGAGAGGAACCGTGTGCTCTACGGGAAACGACTCGACGCGCGTGTAAATCGAATAAAACAAAACGCTTCGTTACACCGCTTTATACAAATTTATTGTTTCCTTAAACATTAATCGTGTTACGGTTTCAAACATTTTTTTCTCGACATATGCAAAAGAATCTTAAGAGCAAGTATATCGGCTTTACAAAGTTACGTCTAATTTTAACCGACCAAATTTATCCATTTCTCTATCTCGCGCGCACGTACACTCTCTCTCTTTCTCTCTCTCTCGTTCTTGCTCGCGCTTTTATTCCTCTTTCTTTCCTTCTTTCTTTCGTCTTAGGACCTTAGAGTTGGCTTCTCTGTTTGCGTTTTAAGAGGTAGAAATCTTGCGCGTATAAATTCTTCACTGTCTCTTTCGCTCGCTCTCGTTTATTCGTTTCGTTCGCACGCGCACATGCGTCACCTTTCTTCTCCTCGCGTAGCTAGATGCGCGATAAATGACGAAAAAACGGGAGTCGTCGATCATGGAACGGAGGTATCGAAAATCGGCCGATCGTCTTCCCTCTCTTCCTCTATCGCTCTCTCGCTCGCTCACTCTCTCTCTCGCTCTCTCTTTCTCTCTATTCAAAAGAAACGAAAACGTTAAAACATACGAGGCAGATACAAATACGTGGACGACGCTTGGGAGTTACCTTTAATTACAATTATTACTTCAAAGTTTATTCCTTATTTCGTTATCAATAAAAATCGTTACATAGTAGTTTGAATCGCTGCTTGACGCCAGATGAATCGGCAAGCAACCGATTATAGTAATAGTAATAGCGGTAATATTACGGTAATAATAAATGGTAGCGATATCGTGTATAGGATGTACGTGACTGTGCGAGGGTGTTTCGGTGTAAAGTGTACGGGACTGCGCGAGTCGAACATGAGAAACGTTTACACGGCACGACAAATCTTCGAATCTTTTAAGTTCCGCGGTTCTTTTCTTTCGTTTCGATTTCGCATCTCGACGTTGGTATCTTGCTCTACGGGAATTTTGCCGTCGAGTTCTCTCGTCGCTGGACGAATATCGGTGCTGGAAAAACGCGACATCGGTGACGACGATCGGTAAGTAAATTTCTGCGAGAAAAAGCTACGAGAGAAAAAAGGAAAAAGAAGGCAGAAACAAAGGGTAAGCCGAACAAAAGGTATCGATCATTTTAAAACGATGCGACGACTAAAGGGGATCGTTTAACCGAAAATAGTGACATCATTTTTTGGCCGTGTAGAATCCCATTCTTCAACTTTCGCGCGATCCTGCGTGTATCTTGTATGCGTATCGCGCGCTCTTGCGTATGACAGATTTATATATATATATCCATATATATATACCATTCTGGTGTACGTGTTGCAACTCTCATCCCGTTTTTCACCCCCGTCCACTTTCTCTCTCTTTCTCTTTTATCGATAAAATGACACAACGTTCGTCGTTTCATTCCGTTCTCGCATAGCAATAATAATAAAAAGTGTAAATAGCTAAAAGAACTGCATCGATATAGGGAGGAGAAGGGTAGGAGAGAAGGATCGCAACGGTTCCACCCTCTGCGGCACACGCTCGCCTGCACCACGGTATGCGTCATCGTCGTCGTTAAGGTGGTCGCCCTTTCGTGATCCTCTCGTCGTCGGGTATCAACGTTGTGTATCCCTTCGGAAGAGCTTGCACCTCCAGACAGCTCTTTCCCGAATCTCTTCGATTCTTTTCCTTTTTTTTCTTTTCGGGTTTAATTCCCGCGAAATCGACGTTTTGTTCCTTCGCGTTCGAACCCTCCTGTACCTTCTCCTCTCCCTATTCCTTGCTACTCCCGCTAGTTCGCTTCCTCTTTACTCGCCGAGTTCTCTCCCGAGCACTCGTTCTTCTTTTACGCCCTTTCGAACATCCTCCAACGTTCGTTCTCTCTTTCATTCTTATCCCTTTCGCTCTGTCTCTCTTTCTCTCTCTCAATCCCGCTCCCTCTCTCTCTGCCTTCTCTTTCTCGCGCATGCGCTCTCTTTCTCTCTCCTCTCTCGCATCCTTTCGTTCTCTACAAAAAAAGACTGTAAACCTAACACGCAATAGTTTACTATTATTTATTATCGTTATTTCTTATACTTAATGCATGCTTGTGTATTTGTCTCTCCATCGACGAATCGACGAATCGACGCACACGATCGCTAACGAAAGAAGCCGTATCGTTCGCTGTTCGCCGGTCGTATCGATGTTTCGCGCGCACGCGCGACTCGATCTACAGATTTTGCGTAGACGAATTTCAAACTCGATTCTTTAAATTTGACCCCGAAAAACCAATCGCCGGC